GTGCCTACGTTTAGCCGTTTAGGCTTAAGGCTCCACACGCGACGGAAGCTTTTAAAAAATGGAGTAGCTTCTCCCGTTTTCCCAAAATTTCCCTTCACTACTCTGCTCCTGAGTATACTATAACCTGCCCAGGAGTATGAAGAATAATTGTACCAAGTTTCGTTAAAATCCGTCGAGTAGTTTTTGTTACTATAAAGAACATACAGACAGACAGACAGACAGACAAAAATTTTACTGATTGCATTTTTGGCATCAGTATCGATCACTAATCATCTCCTGATAATTATTTTGAAAATATATTTCATGTACAGAATTGACCTCTCTACAGATTTATTATAAGTATATGTAGATAGGCCCGAGAGTGTTAATACCTATTTCTGAAACGAAAACTGGCAACTATAATTTCGGCTTTTAAGGAATTTCCTAGTTCCGTACTGAAAGATCTAGGAAGACTAAATAATGTCAAATAGTCTTGGCAACTGCTTTTATCTCTGGCTCTCATATTATATAAAAACTGCAGACTATTCACAAAATGTATAAAAGTCCCGCATCCAGGTTCTTCTCGCGACCTTTACCAGATCGTCGGTCCACCTAGTAGGAGGCCTGCCCACGCCATGTCTTCCAGCCCGTGGTCGCTACTCGAGAACTTTTCTGCCCCAACGGCCATTGTCTCTAAGAGCTATGTGCCCCGCTTACGGCCGGTTCACACATGTCTCCGTTTTACTGTTCCGTTTTATCGTGTACGTTTTTTTTCGGCGATGTATGTATTAATACTGTATACAGAATACTGTGTCAAGTCTGAAGTCACTCATACAACTACATACGCCATCTACGAAAAAAAACGTACACGATAAAACGGAACAGTAAAACGGAGACATGTGTGAACCGGCCGTTACTGCCACTTGATTTTAAGTAACTGGTAAAGGTTGCAGGAAATACCTAGATGCGGGCAGCGTAGGACCGTTCATTGTGGAAAACCTTGGGGGAGGCTTTTGTCCAGCAGTGGACGTCATTTGGCTGAAACGAACGAAAAAAGTCAGTTTTCATGTTAGACGAGCTTCGATCTCAGTTAACTTTATGTAGCAATCAATGGCTATGCATATAAATCACGTCATACGTGAATAATTTATTCAAAGTTTATGAGAGTGCTCCAATTAATACTTGATTCATTAACTTCATATTTATAAACACGACTCTTACAGTACCGTAGACTGATGAAAATTAATCTATTATAAATGAATTAGGCAGTTACTTTTGTTTAGTGCGACAGACTAGATTATTCTATTTCTAATTCAGCTATTCTCAAAAGTTTTGTGTCTAAACTGGTATAGTGTAGTCAAGAATTCTAGACTAACTTTCTCCAACACGTATTCTATTCTGGGATTAGAACATCTATTTGTTGATTGTATTCGTAGTGAGTACAGTTTTAACTAGAGTAGAATGATGATTAATTAATGATGGTTGTCAGTTTAATCTTTTCTTTCTCAGTTTAATTTTATACAATCTTATAAAATTAAAACAATTGTATAAAATTAAACTGAGTTGGTTGTAATAAAAGTGGTAAAGGCCTATTTGTCCAACAAACTTCAGAAAGTATTAAATACTCATTGAAGAAGTAATGTTGTGAAACTTCTGACATAGTAGCAATTTATTTTTATAAGTGACCGAAATTAACTGTTGAGAACCTAGCCCCGCTGAGCGTGCAGGCTAAGATTATAAGTGCCCTAGAAAGAGCCTATGTACTGAATAAACTATTGTCCTAGATACAGCCTTCTAATCTATTTGTTTCAGCCAAATGACTTCCACTGCTGGACAAAGGCCTTCCCCACGGATTTTTACAAAGAGCGGTCCTGCGCTGCCCGCATCCAGGTAGGTACTTTCTACAACCTTCACCTAGTGGTAAGCCTGCCTACAGTATCTCTTCCGGCCGGAGAACGAAAACTTTTCTGCCCCAATGGATATCATAATCATATTCATCAACAGCCCTTTACAGTCCACTGCTGGACTATGAGCCTCCTCCACTATAGTGGAGGGTTTTGCCATAATCTCCACGCTTGGCAGGCGGGTTGGAGATCGCAGTTTAAAAGATTGATGTTTTTCAGAGAGCGCTGCTGCCCATTCTCTGTTTGATGTGTAGTCCCTAAGTCGCCTCTTACGACACCCGCGGGAAGAGTAGGGGTTGGTGACAAATGTATTCTACTCTGCCGTCACCACACGGCTTGTTTCAGCATCAACTAATGCTGAAACAAATTACTCACGGCCACTTTTGACTTTAAATAGAAAAGTCTAAACATTGTGATCGACGATCTAGGCCAGGTGAAAATTACTCGTATAACCGTACCTCTTTCCATATTGAAACTCTTTCAGATAAAGGCTAGCTTGACCAAAATACCAGTGACCCGAATTTTGTCCTGAGTTCTATTAGTTTGATCTAGTTTTCCTTTGACTATTTTTGTCAATTAATAGGTGTCCGTAGTGTATCTATTCTTATAGGTTACTTACGAGTAGGTACTTAAACATTTGTTTTGTCATCCGTTTTACACTGGAGGGAAGTCGAACCTTAACTTCGAACTCCTCCTATGTTCTTCTGATTAATTTCGTTTCGCTTCCAATGAATGCTTCAGTTAACTTTCCCCTGGGACAAACTTGACCTTCACTAGTTGATTTTTTATTGGCGGCCAAGCTGTAGATCCTGGCTACACAGGGTTGCAGCGGTGGGAACGAGAGGTGAGAATAGTCCCGAATTTTAACGTATTTCATAATATCAATCAAATGATTTAATGGCATTTAATCATTGATTATGTAAATTAAAGTATGCATCAGCAAACCAGCTTCGGTACAATATTTGCATTGTACATTTTGTAAGGGCTTACTGAAAAGCGATGATATACCCAAGGCCTTTGGTATGACTTTTCCTGTCTTCGTTCATTTTTACTTAAATTTCGGTCAAGTAAAATAATTGTTCATTTTTTATTTATTTGATATTTTTTGGATTTTTGTCACATAATGAAATTTCCTAAAAACTATACTTCAGAATTAACAGGTCATACAATTAACCGTAGGTATCACTGTAATTAATATAGTCATGGTCATAGTCATAAATGTTTATGAGATTTCTATCATTTTTATTTACTCTAGAGTTAATAAACCAATACTAATTTGAAGAATCCTTGAAATCGTACGAAGATCGACTGCAAACACCACAATATTATCTTAAAAGCATCAATAAAATTATGAATGAAATGATATTACGATATCGTATACAATTCAGCCGAAGCTCACTCACATGAAATTGAAGGACGCGTTATTATCAATTACAAAGAAAAAGCTCCTTTTATGAGAACCTATAACTTTCAGTGCGTTCATTTTACGTGTGCCGGCATAATATTCTGTACATTTACGTGCACGTGCATGAATGTACGAGTGATTCCACGTGTAATTTGAGTGTGAGCGCGTGATAGACAAAAGACTATCGCAATTTGGATGATTAAATTTAAGTGAAAATTATATTAGCCGTGTCATACGGTCAATATACATATTTATTGTTTTGTCAATACGTTTTACCTATGCGTATTTAACATCTCCGTATTGTATTAGAAAGAAAGGAAGAAACATTTACTGCAGGCAGTATTACTTCAAATTATGTGATAAATAATCTTGGATTTCCTTTAAGTAATATAAGTTACTCTAAAGTAACTTGTGATTTCTCAGGTTACTGGATTAATAAAAGCTTTAACTGCGACGTGATAACCTCTTTAATTTTTATGAAACTTAAAGCAGGTTATAATTTTCTTACTAAGTTGCGTTGAACTGTAACATTGCAAGAGTTCGAAAGTTCGAAGAGGTTCAAAAACCATAAAAATATGCATAACCTTTCCCTTCATTTAAGTAAATAACAAGAAATCTTTTCATACCCTTATTAAAAGTACAAGGGCACCCTAAACATGTTTGTCATTGAATATTAAAACACGGCCCCATCTCATTATAAATTGTGTTTGCTTAAAATTAATTACTCGCTTCTTTTACTGGTTTACGTCAAATTATATTTTCGTTCTGACTTCGGCCGTACAAAGCCTTCTACTACTTATCTGTTGCGCAAATACCTTTGTGTCATGCAACACGTTATTATGTTATTTAAGGTAAAACACGGAGAGGAAGACTGTGACTTGTACAGTTTAAATAGAACCCATTTTGTTCTGACAAAACCCAAAGTATAATGATTGAAATATTAATTCATTAAGTGTTAAAATATAACCTCTACCTTTTACAAATAGTTAGCATTCTTAAAATTGAATAATTACAAAATAGACCACCGTAACCACAAAATCTCTGTCAAAAATAAATATGCTACGGCTATAGACTACGGACTACGGGCGTAGTAAGGACTACGAAGCTACGAGCGATCGAAACATCTACGAGGTTAAAGAAGCACGCTCTGCTACGAAATGCGGACAAATACCGCATGAGATTATAATCAGCCCTTGGCTTTTTTAATTACAACTAAAATAATAAGAATAAGAAACGTTACCGTCTCAGAAAGGATGTAGCCTGAAAATTACATAATAACATTCACCATTCCTTCCCCACACCACTCGTCCTTGAGTTAACACAACCTTCCCAAAAGTAAATTAAACACACGTCTTCAAAGACACAAAACCAAACATAATTACTTAGCGTAGTCGATTTCCGTCAATTTAGATGCAAATAACCACTTACTCGCGAGGGTCAAATCCACTTTCAATATCATAACGTAGGCCTATTTTAAGAATTTAATGAATCTTTGATGACTCCGTGATTAAACTGAAAATGTAATTAAACGGTTTTCATTCAATAAAATCGTTTTCACTCATAAATATTGCATAGTACGATAACGTACGCGTTGTCGAAAGTGAGAGTTAAACTTTCGCGCTAGTTCGTTCGAAAGTTTGCAAAGTTTAAACTGTGGTTTAAGACGGACGGGGGCCGCGTAAAAAAATATTTTTGTGCACAGAATTACTTACAGAAAAGTTGCACAGCCGACCGGCGCGGTTGTGAGTAAACTGTGTGGAGTTCGCGACGCGAGCGTGGCAAGCAAAGTTCGCGGAGAGCAGGCGACCGCTCGCCCCGACTGCTCGAATCACACTGACTAAGACAGAACCGTTGCTTATCGACCTACGCGCATTGGCCGCCCCAATACGCCGCCGCGCCCGCCTATCGCGCACCGTTGCCAAAATATAAGGGACCTGTAACAATTCATCTCTCATTATTCCCTACGACAAAAGACGATCGATGACCACGTGACGCCGATTCACTTTTATCGAAGAAACATAATCCGCTCAGCTGAATAGACGTAGCAACGATGAGTTCTGTGCGAGAAATTGATCAACACGAAACCGCTGAGTCAGTCGGTTTGTGTGTCACCGGAATAAATCACGATTACAAAGGGGAGATATGTATAAATATAGGTTCTTCACCCGCTGTCGGATCACGGGTCGGAGCGCTTCGGTGTTAGCAGTCTGCATAATTTTCAACAGTAAAGAAATAAACTTTTAAAAAATCCGAGAACTTTAGCATTCATGTTTGTAAAGCTTAGCTTAGCTAAGTTGTAATGAAAAAATAGATGCAAAATAATTGATTTAAAAGTAAATAAAACAGCAAAAGTTTGTCACAAATGAATTGTTTTTATTAGTAGGTAACATCCAACGACTAAATGAAAAGTTACTTAGATGGAATTCCTAATCTAAGGCTGAGTTGCACCACATAACTTTGACCGTAACTATAACAATAACCGGTGTTTTTTGTATGGAGTTTGACAGATTTTTGACGTTTGTCAAAGCTAAAGTAAGATGGTGCAATCAATCAAACAAGGCGTGCTAAAAAGTTCCCCATTCAGCATTAACAGAGGAAGGGACGCTAATTTTTAGTTACGTTCCGAATCTTCCAAACCTCATTATCATTACTCTCTTTTTCGGACCATTAGGTACCTAAGCCACATGGACAACGTTACCACACAAAAGCATTGTCATACAACAAAGACTGCAACGAACATTCAATCATTCCGCTATTCCGTATTCGCTAAGACTATGAGCAACTGCCTGAGCACTTCATTATCCCATGAATTGTCAAAGTCAAAATTTATTTATTTGTATAGACTATTTAAATATTACCAGGCCTGTTCATCTCCGCGAGTTTACATCGAAAACAAAACACGCACGATGGCCCACCTACAGGATACTATTCGACAAGGCCTCACATACGAGCGAACTTTGACTCACGCACGCGTATTCTTGTGTATGATGGAAGAAAATAAAGAAAATGGTGTACTAAATACTGTGCAGTATTTAACTGCCTAAATAATAATAAAAACACAGAATGTACTTTTTTAAGTTGCCTCAAGACACTGAGAGATAAATAAGTAGTTAATATTATTCATGATAATTCATGCTAAGTCATGTATTTCCTCCGCCATTTTCCGCAGTTGGCACCTCATGTCACATCATTTTACCGAAGTCAGCCCTATAGCTTCGGCGCAGTGCCGATCACTGACGTTTGACAACAAAATGGTGCTAGACACTTGAGACAGGCTAAATTACACCATATTGTTAATGACATTGAGCATACATTTTTTTAAATACCTTCGCGAAGTTTAACTTCTGTACGTAGTACTTATTATTATTCTGTGATATTACTTACAAATCGTCAAAAATTTTGCTCTTAAGGAGCCTCTACATGTCTCATTGTTCAGGTCCGTTTTGATGACCTATAAGTAATGAATACAATTTTGAGGTTGCATACCAAACTCATTGGTCGCGCGCCTGACCGGTTAGAAAATACTTTTTACTTTTTTGCGTTTTTTCATCGATTGTCACTTTTCTCTTTTGTCTCGAATTTTCTACCAAAACGAAATGTAATTTATTTTATTTTGAAGCAATATAATTTTACATTTTACATTTAACAAAGCCTTTCAATTAATAAATATCCCTCGTAGAGTGAAAGACGTAAATTTCGACCATGGTCCTACGAGTCGGATTGGCTTTGAAAGTGGTAGGGAAGTTTCGGTAGTCCATGGTGGAAAACCGCCTGTACGTAATAACTGGATAGCAAGCTGCTATTTCGGAGTCCACACGGCAGTGGAAGGGTCCGGTCTCTGGATGGAGACTGGATAATAAGCGTACGGGAGGAGCAGTTAAGTCATTGGCAGCGGTTGGCGGCAGCCAAGGAGCGCTAGGAAGCGCTAAATTCGAACGAGCAAAGCGAGCGTGAGTAAGAAGTACGAGCCTAGGAGCTGATGGTGCACGTAATATCATCTTCAAGTGTGTGTTGTGAGAGTGCAATCGTGAGTAGTTTAAACATTATTTACTTTGAAACGGAAAGAAGAAAGAAAATTAACTTTGAACATTTACATTACTAACGTTGCATTTTTTCATGTTTACTTGTTTTTTATTTTATTAACTGTATATTTTGCTGCTGTGCGTGTATATTTTTGTATTTTTATTTTACTTGTTGTGTATATTGTTGATTTTATTTGTCAACTATGGAACCATTAGCTAAGGTTCAAGAGGCCACTAAGGCCGCAATCGAAAGAGCTTTTACAAATTTCAAAAAATGTCCAAAAGACAGGTTAAGTCAAGCTTATCTTGAAACTAGGTTGGAGACATTAGAACAGCACTGGGCAGTCTTTTTTAAAACTCAACAAGAGATTGTCAGTAGCATTGACGAGGATGAACTGCAAGAGTCTGATTATTACAAAGACAATGTGTTTGATGAGGTAGAGGAATTATACATGGAGTACAAGTCACATATTAAGGAGAAATTAAACATGTTAGTTTCATTGCCTACTTTCAAGTCCCATAAAGAATCAGCTCCACAGTCAATGCAGTTCAAATTACCTGAAATAAAAATACCTACATTTTCAGGTAGGTACTTAGAGTGGCAAACTTTCAGAGATTTGTTTACAGGACTGGTCCATAATAATCATACATTAGATTCAGCACAGAAATTATATTACTTGAAAGCTTATCTTGTGGGAGATGCTGCACAACTGTTAAAAAATATTTCAATTACAGNCATGCTGTAGTCCGCGAAGACAGAGCAACGACTAAGGTTCGTGTCGTATTCGATGCATCCTGCAAAGGTAGTAACGGAATATCTTTGAATGATAACTTGATGGTAGGGCCTACCTTGCAAGCGGATCTTCGACACATCATTATGCGTTGGAGAAAACATCTCATCTGCATAGTAGCTGATATTGTAAAGATGTATCGACAGGTGCTTGTAGACAGAGAAGATACGTCTTTTCAACGTATACTGTGGAGAGATAATCCTGAAAAGGAAATCGAAGAGCATGAACTCCTAACGGTTACATTTGGAACCGCTTGCGCGCCGTTTTTAGCAGTTCGTGCGTTGCAGCAAGTAGCATACGATGAAGCTCAGGAATCTCCAAGGATAAAGGAAATCATTCTGAATGATTTCTATATGGATGACCTCATGACAGGAACTGAAAATGTAGATGACGGTTATTCAATTTACAGCGAAATAAAAGCTACATTAGCGAAGGGTGGCTTTCAGTTACAAAAATGGATAAGTAATAGTATGGAATTACTACATAAAATAAAGGAAGATGTGAGAGATAAAGATAAAGGTATCAAGATAGAAATGGATGCAAATATAACAAAAATCTTGGGACTTACCTGGGATCCACGTACTGATTCCTTTCAGTACTCGGTTGATCTTGCTGCTCTAATAGAACCTGTAACAAAAAGAAGAGTTTTGTCTGATATAAGTAGACTATTTGATCCGCTAGGCTGGCTGGCTCCAAGCATCATTATAGCAAAAGCAATGATTCAACAACTATGGCTGGCTGGTATCGACTGGGATGAAGAGCTGCCAAGCGAATTACTAAGCAAATGGTGTACTTACCGTGATAGTTTGAGTGCATTGAAGAATGTGAGAATCCCGCGCTGGTTACACACAAAAACTTTTGATAAAAAAGTCCAATTACATGGTTTTTCAAATGCGTCAAAACAGCATAAGCAGCTGTAGTGTATATTATTATTAGGGTAGAAGATGCCGAAGGTAACTAAATACACTGGGTGACGTAGTTTTGATCAAAGAAAATGGCATGCCTCCTGGCAGGTGGTTGTTGGGTAGAGTCGAGCAGAAACATCCTGGCCCTGATCAGATCACCCGAGTGGTTACTGTTCGCACACAAAATTCTTTGATCAAAAGACCTGTGTCCAAAATTTGTGTGCTTCCATTAGCGGAATAATTAATTATTGTAATTTAAATTTGAAATGTAAATATGTGTATTTTAAAATTACTTTAATTCTTATGATTTATATATTTTGGTGTAGCAATTCTCACAAAGTTTGTATTGTTGAAGTTAAATTTTTATTATTACTTTTTTATTACAATGAGTATGTTTTAGTTAAAGGTAAGAGTATGAGCTACATAAACTATTTAGTAGTATTTATTACTATTATGCCCGCTGAAGGCAAGGAAGTTTGATTTTTTTGTTAAGCTTATCGTGTACATAGTTTACTTTAACTTCGAACTGTATAGTATGGATTTGATTTTTGTTTGGTTCTTGTTTTGTTTAACTAAGTAGGTAAAGGACATCCTGGAGTTATGTCCTTTAGCGGGCGGAAATGTTCAGGTCCGTTTTGATGACCTATAAGTAATGAATACAATTTTGAGGTTGCATACCAAACTCATTGGTCGCGCGCCTGACCGGTTAGAAAATACTTTTTACTTTTTTGCGTTTTTTCATCGATTGTCACTTTTCTCTTTTGTCTCGAATTTTCTACCAAAACGAAATGTAATTTATTTTATTTTGAAGCAATATAATTTTACATTTTACATTTAACAAAGCCTTTCAATTAATAAATATCCCTCGTAGAGTGAAAGACGTAAACTTTGTTCACTCATAATCTTTTTACCCTACCACGCTTCAAGACCAACATTTGGGAAGGAGATACTTACCCAATTTTACGTTGTTTTATTTAGATTTGTCTTTATCAAATTAAATGCACTATTATTTTACTAATACAATACCGATCATTAGAACGCCGATTCACTCTACTTTAAGTTTGTTGTTTTTCTGCTCCGCTCCTATTGGCTGTACGATAATGTTATAAATAGCCTAAAGCCTTCCTCGATAAATCTATCCTAAGATTAGCACGTTCAACCAAACAAGCAAACTACTCGTAACTTTTCAGCTTTATAATATTAAGTTATAGATGTAATTTTGTCGCTAAATCCGCATTGTAGTTCCGGATTTTTCCTGTGTCTTTACATTTAACGCAAAATTTTGGGGTTCGATCGCCGCCGCCGCTCGACTGTTGTGGTGAGCCCACTCGTGACACAAGCATATTTAGCTTAGTATGAGGGGCTAACGGGACTATTAGTAATTTGTACAATACAAATAACTAATTCTCTAAACGTGGCAGGTACCAAATACGCGCCCGCTCCCAGCTCCGCTTATGCTCCGCTTAAGCTCCGCTTATGCGTGAGCTACCTCGCACGGGATCTTGTATTAACATGATCGCAGCACTGACCTAGTTATTAAGTATTTATCGTGTATTCGTGGTGTTAACGGGCCCAATTTCAGGCACGTTCGATTTTGGCATGTAATTTTACATCGTGGACTACGATCAGTAGCAAGTCAAAATTAACTTTTATGGTAAGAAATAAACACGAGTAAGTCTTCAGAAGTAAGGTTTCTAATAATTATTATTAAGGCATCTTTAATTTGATACCAAAAAAAGAAACAATAAGTTGCATTTGTTTTTTCGGGACAATATTAGAACCACGTTCATGAAAAAAAAATCCAAAGTTGTCATACTGTAGGTACCTACTTTGTGGTTACCACGAACTCACCAAAATACAAACAGTTCTTTATTAAAATTTATAAATGGATTTACGGATGGAGAAATTAAATTTCGTCGGTGACGGCCCTTTTCATGTTATTCTTGGAAGTTCGGACTCGTGTCTTTAATAAAATGTAGATAAATACAACAAAAAATATCTAAAGTATAGTGCCGAGCAATGGTGTAAGAATAACTGAATGAAGCCCCATTTCCATATCTTTTCGAGACTGACGCCCGTATTCACAAACGATGCTTGCTTAGGTGAAGTAGAAAATCTAACGCACAGCGTTGAATAGAGCTTTGTGATTGGTTCGTGTGGCACCCTGTACGTCCACGCGCACTGTGAGACCACTAATGTTTTTGAATACGGGCGTAAATTCTCAGAACACTAGTCTGAAACTCACTAAGCTTATTTGCAAAATTGCAATTGTAATATTTGGACTTTGTACCTTTGAAAGCTTATAAACATCACAAAGCGTCGGCAACGACAATGGGAAAGTTACGTCTTGACAATTTCTCCTCCAGAACACTTGGGAAAAGTAAATATTTTCCTAGAAAACTATTTATTCTTGACGTTAAATCTTAAGCCGTTTACTGACCGTGGAAAAGCTCAGGAGGCTTCATGGCGAAGACATGTTTATCGCTTGGATTTTTATACCTTTAGATATTATGGGGTGTTTGTTTGCTTCTGGGCTAAAATATTCAGTGAGCTGTATTAACAACAAGCTTGGAGAGTATGAAACAACAAAACGACTTTTTGAATTGAAGCAAAAACTATGAATTTAGAAGTGGTACAGGGTTTTCAAAGTTGCAAACATGGATGTACGTGTACACCTCTTTCAAGAAATCTAACAACATATTAAAAATCGTAGATAAATGCGCATTTGCGATGTTTGCCGTTAATTACAAACATTGCAAACGCGCCACATGCCCGAACAACCAAACTGTGGAATGGACTGTGTTTCCGGACCGATACACCTGCAAGCTTTCAAAAAGAGGGTATATCTTCACCTTAAAGCCCGGCAACACACCTGTAACTCCCCCTGGGACTGCGGGTGTCTATGGGCGACGGTAATCACAAACTTACCATCAGGTGATCCGTCTGCTCGTTTGCCTCCTGTCACAAAAAATAATAATTGTTTAATATGGACTGGACTACGTAAGGAATAACAACCAATAAATGTTAATTATTAAAAATTTACATGGTTTTATTCATTGTAAGTATGTTGTCATGATAATGTACCACATTGCTACAATTAATTCCCAAATTGTATTACCTAAGAACGTCCTACCACTGACAAATTATTTGAGTCTTGCAATATTTTATTAAAATATACGAAGGTATCGGGATATAAGGTCTTAGCATTCGCGACGTGCTTTTTCTCGTGCCGGACGGAACGATTTCTTGACATCGTCGCATTTAAAAACATAGCAATAAAATATACGTGGCGAGAAACACCGACGGAACGGAACGCCGTTGCCGTTCACTTTATGAACGGAGCCCGTCCCGTCCTCGTCCCGTCCGAGGAATTATCCGTTACGTATGCTAAGACCAATGTGTGTTACCAGTGATAACTTATGGCTCGGAAACGTGACCTCTCACTATAGGCCTTATACAGAAGCTCAAAGTTGCACATCGTGCTATGGAGAGGGCTATGCTTGGTGTTTCTTTGCGAGATCGAATCAAAAATGAGGAAATCCGTAAACGAACTAAAGTCGCTGACATAGCCCGACGGATTAGCAAGCTGAAGTGGCATGGGCAGGACACATAGTACGCAGAACTGACGGCTGATGGGGCAGCAAGGTTCTGGAGTGGAGGCCGCGTACCGGAAAACGCAGCGTGAGACGCAGGTGGACGTCCCGACGACATCGTGAAGGTAGCAGGGAAGCGCTGGACGCAGGCCGCTACCAATCGATCAACGTGGAAAGCATTGGGGGAGGCCTATATTCAGTAGTGGACGTCCTAAGGCTGAAATGATGATGATGATGTATGCTAAGACCTTTAAAGTCATTAACACCGATTTCTCGTCTAGCTTTTGAGAACTCACTGAAACTCCTTCAATATCGATCCTGTTAGTGAATCCCGGTGTTCAGTCGTAGCGAATTTGACACGGCCTATACCCGGGCTAAACCGGGGAACGCAGGATTTAACCACGTATGGGAGCTCCCAACACGATCCAAGACTTAGATGAACGATTTTAAAAGTATTTTTCTGTTAGATAAGGTTATAAATCTATAACATAAAACTACGATCATAGAAGCAGAGTATCAATGAAAAATCAATTAAAGGAAACAACATTTTAAACTATTTTCACGCATACGAAGTCGCGGGCACAGCTAGTCTAATCATAATCTTAAATTGTGAGGCTTATGCCCGTTTTCACCATCAATCCTTAATTTTTAAGTAACCCATATGAAAACGAAATTCCTAATATGTGTTACCATAGGGATCACTTAAAAATTAGGGATTGATGGTGAAAACGGGCATTAACATACATCGATGTCTAATGATTATACAATGATCGAATTGCATTGTTGATTGAAACTAGATTGAATACTAATTTAATTTAACGCTCGGATTAGACAAGCGAGATCTAGGTAATACAGGACAAATTACACCAATTCGAGTAATAGGATGAACAGTGATAGGATTTGTTAATTAAATGCTAGTAGATCCTAAATGGCGAGACCTGCACATTGGCAAACGAAAATTCGAAACTTTGAGCCTCATTAATAAATAATAATAATAAATAAATTTTTATTTATCTCTCACACACATAACATCAATTACATTGATTGATATTTACATTTAAGATGTTACACAATATTTATATTTAATTAATTAATCCTTAATTATGCTACACTGTGTGTGAGAGACTGGAGCCTGAGATAGGTTTCCGAAGAAACCCGTATTACATTGAATATGTAAATAAGTTTACGCATTCGAGAGGTGAGGACCTGGATGTGAGGTTGGAAGGTAAGGGCCTGATCCAGAACAACACCAAGATACTTGATTGTATCTGTTCTTGCAAGGGGAGGACAAGAACAGGTCGCCGCATTTTCGGGGCATAAGTGTACGGTAATGTCGAGTGTTGACGGCGGGAGAAGATGGGACCGATGTACAAAAGCTATATATTTAGTTTTCGACACATTAAGTGTAAGAATGTTGTCTTG